TGTTGTGCATAGGGTCACTATGAGTCGGAAACCACTTGACGGCACATAACAACAACAACAAAAATAAAAAGGGAAGAATGATTTACACCAAAACTATCCAGAGTTAATTCAGAGGTGGAGATAAACTGTTCTATACATTTCAGGAGCATAGTTTTGAGTTCTTTTATGAATGTTTCATGACACTCTGGTGGCATAGCTGAACTAACCCAAAGGCAGTATTTCTGTGATGGGGCTGGATCCACCACCCTGGAAGATCTTTCAGGAGAAAGATGCAATTTACAGCTTCTGAAAACCGACTGTAGGATTAGGGTAATTTTTAAAAAAATAGATCATCTAATTAAAAAAAAATTCCTAGCCCTTAAAAAAGTTATTCTAAGAAAACTGTTATAAGTTATACCATGGCCTACTGGCAAGAAGCTGTACTGCAATTCCAGAGGTGCGTGGTTCAAATCCACTAGATGCTCTGCTAGATAAGGAGGGACAATCTCCTCCTGTACCATTCAGATATGATTTGATGGTACACACACAAAATAAAAAAATTTTAAAAATATACCAAAGCAGTAACAAAATACCATTTACTTCTATCATTCGCTTTATAACTTATTAACTACGATGGATTTCGATGGATAATGAGACTAGTAATATATTTATGGTCTTAAATTGCACAATACTGATGAAATCTTTCCTTCTTTGACTCACTGGCTACATAGAATATGAAAGAGTTGTTCTTTCTGAGATAAAATTTAGTAAAAATATTTTCGGTTTAAGTGACTAACATCTGAAAATTTTGTAATTTGTAGTAAATTGCTCAAGAACACACTCAGATTGCCATGAATCAGTGTGGCTGTTAGATCTCTCATTGCACAATCTCTTTCATGCTAACAGCAGCTGTGAACTGCTTTGGAGGATTTAATGAATTTCACAGGCACAGGCTGGGTCTTTCAAAAAACATGTTGTGGGATCTTTTACTTGAAGAAATTGGAAATTATTGCAGCCAGGAAAATTTTACTTTTAACCCCAGAAATAAGTCAGATTCAATGACTCTCTAATACATCAGAAAATTGTTTAAAAGATAGTAATCCTTAGAACGGTATTTTACAAAATATTTAGCTACTAACAATGTGACCATGGACACCAAGTCAGAACTAATGTGTAGTTGATGCCTGTGCAAGATGTTCAGAGGCAGGAAATCGCATAGGAGACGACCTATTTATCTCCCCCAGAGAAACTGGTGGATTCAAACTGCTAATGATTTCATAGCAAGTATTATCAGGGATGCATCCTGTCTCCATACCTTTTCAATCTAGATGCATAACTGATCATTTGGGAGGCTGAATTTTGGGGAGGAATGTGCCATCAGGATTGGAGGAAGACTCAACAACCTGTGGTACACAGATGACACAACCTTGCTTGATGGAACTGATGAGGAGCTGAACTATTTGCTGCAGAAG